TCAGCATGCTTTGTTGGTCTATTAAATTGTTAACTACATATTATGTCTAAATTTATTCAGTGTTCCAGTTTTTTAAAGTTTAATTGTGATTTTAATTCTGACTATAGCATTTTCACAACTAACTAGTCCATTATAAAAATATTCGTTGTAAGAGCTTTTTACTCTTTCAGGTCATGGACAAAAGCACTTCCTCCATTCAAATTTTTTGCGCTGATAAGTGTGCAAACAAGGATTAATTTATCACGAAAAGAAGAACTAATTATTAACATTACATTTTACTCGTCAAAAGCGTACCGAAACCGGTAAAACCGGAGACCCTTTTTACTGGAAACGAGTCATTCCATGTTAGCCCTCATGGGTGACAACGCATCTGCATTTTGATTCGTAATCGAAGATAGATCTAGATGTCTATGGGTCACAGCAACCACTTATCATCAGGTGGACTGTGTGCTCGTTTGTCATCCTTATTCTATAACAAAAAATCAGCCTATGGATGACAGTATTAATTAAAAGCCTTTAGAAAAATTTATTTACTTCGCAAATATATTAATTGCTCTTAATTTCATTAATCCAGAATTTTAAATTTTGTTTTATAGGATAGGGTGACAAACGAGCACACAGTCCAGCTGATGGTAAATGGTTGCTGTGAATTTCAAACTTTTTTTTAACCATGTGTCTCAGAACGCGAAAAAAAATTATGGACTAAAAGTTGAGTGCTGTTCGTACCAAGTGACAAAAACTTCACAAAACTATTCAATCATGTATAAAAATTGAGTTGTTGTAAAAACCTTCACCTCTAATATTATTGTATATTTTAAATTTGTAGACACTATTGCTATTGTAATAATAAATGTGAATAAAAACGATTATTATTTTAGTTTTATTATTTCCTAATGTTACATTATAAGAGATGTAAAGACAGCCTTTCGAAAACTTTAACCATGAACCATCATCCTGAGTAAGGTACTGAAGAATTTTCTTTGTGGAAATTAAAAAAATTGACTTCCCATACAAAATTGGTCACGTGACCGATACATTTTGTATGGGAAATCAAATTTTTTGTTCCTTTTTGGAGAAAAATTATTTTAGTTTTAGTTAAAGTTTTGTATATAGAGCCAGTTCACTCGTTTATTCGTTTATTGACAAAAAAGTACACGAATAAATAATATTAATTAATAAACTTCCGCCCGCAGGCTCGTCCTTATGAATTTCTCTAATATCATGCGTTTCAATCTCTACTAATTTCAATTAAATTAAAATTTTATAAATGAATATAATAAAAATTAACTGATTTTTCCCCATAATATCCCAAATTCTTGTATTTTGTGTTTACCCTAATTAGAAAGAGACTGAGGGGTAATGAAAAATTTCAAGGTCGTTTTCTTGTATTTTTTATGTAATTCGAAAGTGCGGGTTCCAGTTTGTACGAAGTACATGTATTTCCATGAATGTTACTATGTTTCTTGTGTTTCTCTGATGTACTGACATTCGTTCACTGCATAAAACGTCATTTTTAATTAAAATTACGGGAGCTGTTGTCAACACGACACGACTTTGAGCATAGACTAATATATAATACTGGAGAACTAGAGCACAGACTACCTTTAACTTTGAGCACTAACGGGCCGAGCATTGAACTAAGCCATACTAGCTTAGTTTGAGTTGCCTCACATTACGGACGCGGACTCGACTTCTAGGTGTTATTATTCTAAGTTGTAGGTATATAAAAATCTAATCGTCACTAATCAACATGGTGTTATAAAAAGGTGACATCTTTTGAATGCTTTAGTGCAACTTTACGGATTCAAAACAGCCATTTTTATAACTAAAGCATCGCAGTCACAACGATGAAAGAAGGCGCTTAATTCAAAATGTATTTCTCAAACTTTTTTTTTATATGTTTTGCAATAGATGTCGCTCTTTATGAAAAGTAAAGAAAATTCGCATGGAAGTAGAATTAAAAAACCGAAAGTCCATCAGTGCTACGCGCAGATAAGATTTCTATTCCTCGCATAATTAACCTCTATCGTCAAACAGTGGTAAATTATTAAAATGAGAGACGCGTTTCACTTCTCAGCACGCAGTTACGATATTCTATAAAGTCAGCTAGGTAGGCAGGTACGTTCACCTTTGCAAAATATATTATAAACTTAACGATATCCCTTACTTCTTTCATATTTTCATTTAAACTTACACAGTAAAAATAATTTAAGAAAGAGTAAAGGTTTTCCACGGCGTTATGAGTTTTATTGGAAATAGAAATTTTACGAAATTTTCGGTTAGCTACCTACTTTCTCTCAGGCTAAAAGGCTGAATGCATAGAATCTATGGCTGAATGAGTGTGACATATTATTCATTCGAAAATTATAGAACGGATGCCGTGCCGGCACTACTATGCTCTAGATACGCTGAGGTAGGTTGTTTTTGTCTGGCTTGCCCAAAACAGTTACAGTTATTATTTAGGCGACTCTGACGACGACAAATAACTGTAATTCTTTAAATCAATTATATGATAGCAACTAAACAAACCTAACGAAATAAAGAAAACGAAAGGAAATGTTTGAGAAATAAAATATTTTGTGTATATAAGTCCGCCAATACGCACTAAAATAAAAAAATAAGAAATAACCCTCTCGGAAACGTGCCCAACTGTGGGATCTATAGGATAAACTTCTCTTTATATAACTACTTAGTCATATGTCTTGTAAGTACTGCTCTATTTCTTCTTCAGTCAGCATTTCAATGCTGGATATCATCATCGTCAGCCCTTAAAAGAGACCTAAATATGAGCCTCTTCCTTTCTAGAACAAAACCAGATAACGTCTCCTCTCCCCAAACATAGTCTAATATTCATATTTTTTTTAAATGTTGTAGATATAATGAAAGACACGGTCCGTACGTTTTTATTTTAAAGAAATATTGCGTACGATATAAGTTAGTAGCATCTAAATATCTATACCTATTACTTAAAAATTTCCTCGAGCGTTTTTATTAAACTAAACTGAATTACTACTCGTAATCAGCGTTCGTAAAAAGCGTACGGACCTATGTTAAGCTACACTGAATTTAATGAGACCAGAATTGTCTCATTATGTAAAGGGTGAAAACGTTCTCGCCTGAAGATTGATGAACGCAGTAGGAGACAACTCGCACCATTGACGCTGCTTCTCGTCACCGGTCTGGTAATTTTACGTCAGCCGTAAACAAGATGATTATACCACTACCTATTATACCCATAAGATAAGATCACTTAGGCATTTCGCATAGTCGCCTCTTACGACTCCCACGGGATGAAATGGGTTGATGTTTTTATTAGTGTGTTCTAAGTGGTAATAATATTTTTCGACTTCAATGTATATTATTAAGGGTAACTCAAAAACTATTGGTCAGATTGACCTTGATCAAATTATATATATATATATATTATATATATATATAGTTCCCTTATCATTCACTAAAAGATTCTTTTATTTCCTGGGTTCGTCTCTTTACAACAAAATAAGCGAAAACTGTCCTATATATGGGTTATCATTATATAACTGCAAGAAAGCTGTCCGCTCATACCTTCAAAACACATCTTATGACGAAACAGAAAAATACCTAAACCGACTGATTATAAAACAACTAACCTGATTTATCTACTCTCTCACACAAACACACACATGCACACGCAACACACACGCACACCCACGCATACCCACGCATTCATTTCTCAACTTTATAATTATAATTTGAATAATTTGAATAACTAGAAATTGATATAATTGTAGCACTTTTAAATGTATGCATGTAAATATTATATACATAATGTTATGGGGATTGAGACTGTTACTCCTTAATACAGGTTATTCTGTAACCTAGCTAGGAGTGCAGAGCTACATCCACTAGATTTAAGGACTTATTTTATAGATAGTACAAACAATGTAATGTCACACCAATGTACTACAATCACTGCATATAAATAAAGTTATCTTATCTTATCTTATATACATATATATAAATAAAACTACATGAAAAGCACCAGCTTTCAAATAAAAAAAGAATCATAGAAATCGGTTCACGTAGTACAAAGTTATGAGGTAACAAACATGAAAAAACGTACAGTCGAAAAAGAGTACCTGCTCCTTTTTGAAGTCGGTAGAAAAGTGTATTTTTCAGTATTATCTTATCAACCAGTAACAGTTTAATGTTGGACATTTGCCTAATTGTAAATGTGTGTGTGCCTGTTTGTTCTAATCGTCACTCTTGGCAGCCGGATTAACAACAATTGCAGCATCAAATATTTAACACCTTAGGCGCTTGTATATAAAGCCGCGTATCCTCCAAAAATGTTGACAACATTTATGTTTCCAACTGTTTCCAACAAGCGTCTCCGCCGAGGGCACAAATGTTTACAACAAGCGTATTCCTTTGATGTTGCCGCCTAAAATGGAATCACGGTTCCCGACATTGTTTCAAGTTTTGTTACCAACTGTTGTGTTGGCAACAAAACTTTGGTGGAGACGCGGCAAGAGCTAAACGCCTTCTTTTTGAGGCTGACGTATTTCTGATATTTTCATATCATATCATAGTTGTGTCTTACGACAACAACTAGATGAAATAGGTTCTACAACAGTGTCATTAAATCTTAACATGTGATTAAATTGCAGTTTTTTTAGAAGCTTCTGTCTTCCCTTCTCTGTAATTTAAAAAAATAAATAAACAAAGAAGATTCGATATTTTTAATGATTCAGCATATTATCAAAGCCATAATTGACCACATCGTTTGAACACCAACAAGCATGACATTTAGGTAGCATTATCCTTTACACGTTACAAAAAAAATTTGTAAAAAAATATTGAGAATTTTAATAAATACATAAAGAATACATTCAGTTGTTTGCTTAATCTAAATATACTAGTTAATAATATATTCTTATAAATAATAAACGCTTTTCCAAAATAAATTAAAGCTTTAACTTGATACTCTAAACACCGGGGAAGTCCCGGTTGTTTTCGTGTCAGCTATGTTCCGAACTGACGCTGTGAACTCTTCGTAAGAACTCCTCTACTTTCTTATAAGGACTTTGGCATCTACCTTGATTAGAATCGATGAAGTATAAATTGTTATCTCGGTCTTCAGACAAATGACGGCCACTGGAACTGTTCACGACTGTTTTATCCAGAAACGGTTCCATCTCAGGTACAACTGTAACTGGCTTCGCTATGTACTTATTCGCATCTTGATTGACTGCAGCTTCTGCCTGTTTCTGGCGCAACCAAATTGGAGAGTTCACGTAAACTCTCGGTCTTTCCCTTAAAGCGTTACACCGTTCTAAAGCGGGTCTTCTAACTGGCATCGGAGGTCTGTAAGCTGCCGGTAAGGGTACGCCTCTACCAATAATATTGCAAATCAAACCTTTTAATGCAGCTCTAAAATCTTTAAGGTGATATGCATATAATAACGGATTGATAGCCGAATTCAAATGAGAAAATATTATACAAAAATAGGTGAGCGGGTTGGGAATGTCTAGTTCTGGAAGGAATGCTTTTATAGCATTTATCGTGTATAGAGGAATCCAACACACAATGAAAAAGAAGACAATGATAGCGAGGTTCCGTGTAGCCTTGACTTCACGTTTTTGAGCGGCGCCTAGAACTCTCAGCATCGTACCGCTAGTATTGCGACCATGGCCTCCTTCTACTGTTACCACGGCGCTCATCTGAAAACACATAAATTTATTTTTATATATGTTTGCTAATCAAATTGAAATTTGTTTCTTAGCTTAACTTCAGGCTCTAGGGTATTTTGTTACCAGGTGTTTTTTTTTTTATTGAATAGAGGTGACAAACGAGCACACGTCCATCCGATGGTAATTAAATGCTGTGGCCCATAGACATCCACATCCATCGTCGATTAAAAATCAAAATATTAGTTATCACCCCTGAGGACTAAAATGGAATGTCTTGTCTGCAGTAAAAAAAGTCTCTGGTCCTCTACGCTCACCATGCGAAACACAGTAGGATTAGCTGCTAGTTGGTAGAGTGTGGTCTTTCCCCAATCGAACTGACCCATCCATGCTATATTTAAATAGCTGCAGCATGGCTCTACAACGTATAAGATGGCCTTTGACTTGCAAACTACTGCAAGATAGTTTAATCAGTTGATTGACGCCCATCCCTTTAGTTAAACGCTGGCGTTAATTGAAATTGAACGAGTAAAGGATACTTAACGAAATTGGTTCACGAAACATTTAACAAACAAAAGTCGAGTGAGACCAGGCAATGTTCACCCATCTATAGCAAGTTAGTTGGCGAGGATTCACTTTTCTTCGCCACTTTAGCCGCACCTCTGATCATTTAGTTTATGGTGGTAACAGCGGTGCTCACAAACCGCTCGCATCTTTTCTCTAGATTATCATAAGAAGATTATCATATGTATATTATCATGCGGTTATCATTAATCAAGCAATACCTGCCATCAAAACATTGGTTATCTTCGGTCATCATCATCATTCATCATTACAGCCCTTCACAAGTCCACTACTGAACATAGGCCTCCCCCAAAGAATGCCACAAAGCACGGTCCTGAGCCACCTGCATCCATCGACTTCCTGCATGTCTTACCATGGGTATGGATGGTATCGCAAGTTTTGTCGCGATGTGCGATGGTGAATTGAGCGGCTGCAATAAGTCCAAACAATTTCTCATAACACTCCCCGTGGTAGACGAAAATGCGAAAAAATAGGCAAAAACATACAAATCTCTTCGCAGTGCCAGTGAGTCAAGGCAATCAGAAAAAAAAATTAGTCCGAACAATTCTTCAGAGCACTCCCCGTGGTAGATGTGATAAAATACGCAGAGAGGCAACATCTCTTCGCAGTGCGAAGAGCAGTGCCAGTAAGTGAAGTCAAACAGATAGAGCTTAGTCGCCGACAATTTGAACCGCTCTGCGCTGGATGCGGTCAAATGAAAGGAGCTGGCACTGGGGAGCCCCTGCCCAGAGATGGGAACAGTATTCCATGCGAGTTGTAAAGTTGCAAGCGGTGTGCCGGCATGAAATACTGTCCCGCTCTGCTGAGCAAGCCAAGCTTTTTAGAGGTTAATTTGGCATTCTCTTCCAAGTGACCACGAAACTGCACGTCACTCGATATGTCGACAGCGAGGATTCCGATACTGACTGACGCAATAAGGGGAGTGCCCTGAAACTGAGGAGATACGACAAAGGGGTTCTTTTTAGCGATAAACGCACAAACTTGTGTCTTCTGGGGATTAAACTGGACTAGATTTAATCGCGCCTAGTCCAGGACTTTGTTCAACAAAGTCTCGACTTCAGACACAACACGACACGACTTTGTTCTGGTACTCGACGACGTTTCCCGAGAAATATTGGCATGTCCGGTGTATAAAGCATCACCAGTGCTGTCATCCACATAGCAATGAATGTTACCGGTTTGCTACATATCATTAATATGTAGAAGAAACAGCGTTGACGATAGCACGTAGCCTTATGGAACACCAGCGTTAATGGGCTTCTAATCGGAGTATGCAGTGTCTACGTCCTTGACATTGCCTTGGCAATGACACTTTAGAGCGTGCTGGTGTTTGCATCCCGAGACGTTGATGCGTCAGCCCACACAGAAGTGACCAAACTATGGCTGATATCTGCCTCCGATAGGCGCCCCAGATCAAGAAATAAATAGTTCCATTCGCCAAAGTACCACATCAGCGACAGCAACAACGTTGGGATCATCTGGCGAGAAGCGAACCCGCCCCCAAGGGTAGGATGCCCCCAGAATACGCGGGGCAGCCTGAGCACTGACGCTCAAGAAGAGTACGGTAGCTTGATCCTGGGGTAGACAACTTGTAATTCCTCTGGTGTTGTAAATGTCCATGGGCAACGGCAGTCATTTACCATCAGGTATGCCGTATGTTGGCCCCTCTTTCAAAAATAAATCTCCATACCATATAAAATATTTTTCACATTGCAAGTTCAGTTCAATAGGTGTCATATAGAGATCATTATAACACTTAGGTAGCATTAGCATTCTATAAAATTGCGATATAACATTCTACAGATAGTAATTTTATTTACCTGCTTCACTACGACGCGGTAAATGTGCGCGTAGAAAGCAGCGAGCAGCACGCTCGGCGTGACGATTGTAGCGAAGTACAAAAAAAGCAAATAGTTATAGTCCATGACTTCCACGAAGTAGCAACCCGGCGCCGGGCCCACGGCCGCGTGCCAACCAAACAACGGGAGCAACCCTACACCTGCTCCCGCCACCCAGCATGCCGATATGATCCCTGAAAATACAAACAATAATCTACAGGTACAAACAAATAAAATTGAAGTGTCCCTTTGTAATGTTAAAATAACAGCTTTTTACTAAATCCATATGTACGGTATGTATAACATTTTTTTTAATTTTGTCTTTCTGTCTGTTTGGTCCGGCTAATCTCCGAAATGACTGGACCCATTTTGATCATTTTCACTGTTATAAGGAGTGTGTTATAAGGAGTAACTTAGGCTACTTTTATTTTAGAAAAATAATTAAGGTTACGCGCAAAAAAATTAATAACTGGCACTAAAATTAAATAACCATGTAGGGGCACGGTAAGAGAATCCAATTGCACGCTATGGAGTAGACCTATGTTTAGCAGTGGACTTTCAATAGGTGATAAAGACGAGAAAAATAAAATAAGTTTCTAAACATATTATATGAAATAACTACCCCCATATGCCTCTTTATATTTTGATATGGTAATAATTAAAAATTTTGTACAACCGGCTTTAATGAAAATTATTAATAATAACTCAAAAACTATTGGTCAGACCTTGATCAAATTTATATGGGACCACATGAGAAGTACCAGCTTTAAAATAAAAAAAAAGAATCATTTAAATCGGTTCACCCAGAATAAAGTTATGAGGTAACACACATAAAAAAACATACTGCCGAATTGAGTACCTTTTTAAAGTTGGTAGAAAACAAAGAGAACCACACTTTTCCAGCACGGATAAACGGACAAAGAAAATGTGTCATAATAACATCATGGAACACAACGAGAGAACAACAGTCCTGGGGAGGGCTGGAGGAATAGAATAGAGTAGAAAAAAATAAAAAATAATCTTTTTTATTTTTTATTCATTATAAACAATACTTATCAAAAGTTCTTTTTTAAGTTAACTGCTGTTTCGGAAAAATTCTCTGTCCGGACGGACCAGCAAAAAACCCAGCGGGACATGTTTTCCACAATTCTCAGGTTACGTGGTAGAGAGCCACTGCTGCTAAATTAGTTGTAGCGCGAATGGGTCGGCTCGATCGGGGTAGGACCACGCTCTCACAGAATAACAGCTTAAAATAGCAGCTTAATGCTGCTGTGTTTCATATGGTAAGTGTAGAGATCCGGAGACCCTTTTTACTGGAAAAGAGGCATTCTGTCTCAATCCTCAAGGCTGACAAGGCATCAGTCTGCATTTTGATTCGCAAACGAGGATAGATGTAGATGTCTATGGGCCACAGCAACCACTTACCATCAGGTGCACTGTGTACTTGCTTGTCACCCTTATCCTATAAAAAAATCCACATTAACATACAATATATAAGGTTATAAAATTTACAAAACTCATATAAGAAACAGCTTTGCAGCGATCACTTTGTTGTCAGGGGCTATTATCAAACGTGTCATTATTTATATTAATAATACCTAATCCATTTTTAAGTCATTGTTTAGTAAAAAATTTAAACGTTGTAATACAGACCTTGTATGTTTTCTTTAATAGGTCATAATATACATCATCCCATTAATGAATTACAGACTCTGTGGAATTGACTACCTAACTGGTACAGCTTGTGTTTGTTCCTGGTTTTTACAGAATGTATCATATCACTTGTTTAATCAAAATTAATAAAAACTGAATTTGTATGAGGATTGCCCATACTTTAAATAAGTAAAGTAATATATTTTACGTGGTAGAGCCATGCTGCAGCTATATTAGTAGTATAGTTGTAGCACGAATGGGTCCGCTCGACCGGGGAAGGACCACGCTCTCACAGAATACCAACTTAAAATAGCAGCTTAACGCTGCTGTATTTCGTATGGTGAGCGTAGAGAACCGGAGACACTTTTTACTGGAAATGAGGCATTCCATCTTAGTTCTCACGGGTGACGACGCATCTGCATTTTGATTCTTTATTGACGATAAATGTAGATGTCTATGGGTCACAGCAACCACTTACCATCAGGTGCACTGTGTGCTCGTTTGTCACCCTATCATATAAAAACAAAATATTCATTTCCGTTTAACCTACAATATCGTAGTATGATAATATTTATTTACTTAATAATTATTTACAACAGTTTACATTCACTTTTATATAAATATAAATACCCATAAAATAAGAAGTTTTGACCTTATAAACCTAAACTACATTAAAACATGTTTCCCAAGTTCACATGACATAAGAAGAGTCACTCATATCTCAGCTATTTATAAATTTTACCTGATCTCCAATTAAATTAAGATACTTGCCATAGTATATTTTTAAATTGTAATATATTTTACTAGCGATCTGCCCCGACTTCGCATGACTAAGATCTAATAGGGTGGTGTTATTTAGATTTAATATAATCAAAAACCGTTTATTTTAGTAAGTTTTTTAACTATAAATTTTTCGCCTAAAATATAGCCTATATAACTATAATAGGCATTGCTCTAAATGTCCATGAAGTTTCATTACAATCGGTTCTCGAAATGTTGTATAAAATAATGCATAAAATATCCTTTCGCGGCGCGGAAATCAATTAAATGGTTGAAAACTATGTCAAATGTACTGCACCTATGTAAATACGGTCTGCGTATCTAGAACACGCACCGTATGTGCGATACTCGTAGCACTCACCACAAGTTACGAAGATAAGAAAAACATTGAAAACCGTGAGCAATACTGACGCAAAAATAGCTTCACTTCATTTATATTACTTTAATGGGCAACACTAATTAGGTCGTTGTTTAATATCACCCGGGGGTGTCGGAACAGACGATAGTTGGAAATTAAAACTACAGATAGACAGCATTAACTCTCAGATAACAATTATAGTAAAAACTGCAAGCGTTCAATTAAGGCAGATGGTCTATTTTACTTAATACTTCACGGGATGCAAGATCTCGTAACTGTACAACAAATAGCTAAATGTTTAAATTAATCAAAAGTGATTGTCTATTGTTTTAGTGAGTCATAGATTAGAATCCAACAATTATAAAAAAATCCCTTGAAATGTGATGACACCTCTCTGTGAATGATATTGACGTCATAAGATAAAGAATAACTTTAGCTAACTACATTCATTTTAGGCAGATATGGTGAGAATAAGTCCTTCTTAATCATAAATTAAAAATAGATTTTTCACAACCATGTTGTAATCTTTTACAAGATCCTAAACGGTTTAGTTTTACATTTTCTCTTTCTTTTTTTTTTCTTACTTATTAGCATTATCAAACCAATGCTAGATATGGATATATACCTTTTCGAAAATACATAAAACGACTCTATCAAGATATTATACTTAAAGTATCTGGATACATTCTCAGACTATCAATATAAAAAGCAACATAATGCTGATGTGTTTCGTATGGTATGTGACAAGAACCGAACTTTCCAGAGCCTTTTTTACTGTTGGTAACAAGGCATTCCATTTTTATTCTTAGATTTTTATGAACGATAAATTGTAGGTGTCTATAAGCCACAGAGTACATAGCGACCATCAGGTGGAATTTGTGCTCTCTTGTCAGTTGTGACCCTTATTTCAATTAAAATAATACATTACGCTGGGTTAGTGATTGCAATACTAGATGCTTAGCTATTTGCTTCCCATCGCCTTGTTGGTATTTTATATCTATCTCAACAGGGTTGTTATGCTGCTATATATTGGAAGCCAGGTTTTCCTGGTATTTCTTATAGTCCTCTTATGATCCTCACGTCACGTGACGTAATGGAATAATGGATCCTCTAACGCCATCACCCACGCAGCGCAATACAATTCGTTCGCCTTTAGATTTGCATAATTTTGTGATCTTAGTTGACGCACTACAATGATATATATTTTTTATAGAATCAGGATGATAAACGAACACACAGTCCATCTGATGGTAAGTGGATACTGTGGCCCATAGACATCTACATTTATCCCAAAGACGTATATTTATCCTCGATTGAGAATCACAATGAAGATGCCTTGTCACCCCTGAGGACTGGGAGTTTCCAGTAAAGGGTCAGCTTTAAGCTTCTATTTTACGCTGGTATTCCGTGAAAGCGTAGTCCTACCCCGATTGAGCCGATCCATTCGTGCTGCAACTAATACAACTGCAGCGTGATTAAATAACTAATCTTCATAATATATATATAATTCTTCTGTAGTCGCGTGTGTTTGTCACTGAACTCCTAAACGGCTGGAGCGATTTTGATATCTTTTTTTTTTGTATAGTGGATTGTTTAGATTCACAATTTGACCTGCTAGGTGGCGCTGTTGTCGAGATCTTTAGAAATCACACATTCGAAACCGGGGCTATTCGCTAGTTTCGCATAAATTAAAATATCAATAACAATATTGTTAATTTAATTTCTTTATATTTCAATATCAAAGCTTTATAAACATTATTTAGTCCTAACATTGTGACCTAAATGGGTTAGATGTACACAACAGTTCAGCTTATGAATGAGTGTGAAAAGTAGGTAAACCGTGGACATAATTCTCACGGTATTGCTAAAGAAATATTATCGGATGTAACACCTACTAATTTTTGTAATATATTTTTCACCGACTAATTAACACAGACTATGTTGACCGTGTAGTGACGGTGTAAGACTATCCACCATATTGTGGTTCTCATAAGAAGCGATAAAGGGAAACAAACCAAGAAATGGGCAGCAACGTCTTTGTAATAAAAACTAAAAAATGAAAAACTGCGGTTGCCAACTCGCCTGCCAAGTGGCAACTATCACAATTATCCCCGTTATAATCCAATCTACGGCAGCAGTGGACTTGATAGGATTTAATGAATGAATAAAAAATGGACAATTATCAAAGGAATAAATAAAAAACAACTTCCCTAATATATATTCCTTTATATATCTTATTCAAGTGCTTTTGTTACTTATTTGTCTTTTGAAACAAACAATTAGTGATGGTGTACTT